AGTGTCATAAGTTAATATCATATTGGAAGTCTAACTATTTTGTATTATATTATGCTTGTAGTTTTGAAAAAAAATTTACTTACTCAAATTTACATTTATTTATTAATATGCAGCATTAATTGAAACTTACCTAGAAAGAAAAAAAAATTTATTTATAAAGAGTTCCAGGAATGATAAATATGTTTTAAAAAGACTAACTAATTATTATAAACTACATTTATTATTCATTATTACTTTTAATATATCAAAATACATAGGGTGAGTCGTATTTTATGTCGGTGTAAAAACTGTGAACGCTTATTCAATTTGATATATTTTTACTTCATATAACTTTTAGGGGTAAAGCAATTTACTGAAACTATTTTTTGAATACAATATAAATCAGCTTATCTGGCATTATATTGATGATTTCGATTTCGATGATCAGTAACAGTAAAATTTAGAGAACTGGTGATTAGTTAATGCATCTTCTTTCAAATTTCTTTCAAAAGCCAGTTTGTGTGCAAATTTCTAAGAGTTGATTAGGATCAACGAAGCAATTTGAACAAACACCCTTTACGGTCATAAATTCTTCAGTAAACGTTTCACTTGCTCATATTGCTAATAAAATTGGAATTGAGTGATGCAAATTAATATTCTTAAGTATTTTACTACTATTGTCTACTCTAAAGATTATGCAACAGCTGTTAGAGTGAATGAAATCCTTTGATCAAATCGCAGGCATTATATTTGGATCAGTGCTGCATTTTTCTTATAGAATTATCCAATCGCAAAGGGGTATTGAAGAACATGGAACCACGACGGGAGATAATGCGCTCACCAAAAATTTTCTTCAACAAATTGATTATTTGGACTCAAAGATCGGCCATTTCAACATCCTTCAATTCAGGCATGAAAAAGTATGTAATCATTGCTCTTTAGCATCCCCTATTGAATGTAACACTTTTGAAGAAATATGAACCAATGATTTCCTCTGCCCATAGAGCACACCAATAAGTGATATTTAAGCCTTTAGTAAGCCCACAAACGAAAAACTTTCCGACTAAAACTCAAACTCTTCTATAAAGTGGATAGGCACAGCTCCAATCGTTGAGAGCGATAGCGGAAGGATTCATTCGGGTCTTCTTTGATACTCTGCTCCATAGCAGCACAACAGTGTCTTGGTGCGCACTACATCTTTGAGGATGCGCGTTATATAGTAGAGTAAACGTGGTGCGAAACCGATCCATGATTGCTCAAATTACCGACAGTTAATCTTTGAAAACTACACGACTGAAAAATACACTGGTTATATCAGAAATTTAGTAGCGAAACAGCAAATCAGAAAGCGATTCTGTGACTCGAAAAAGTATATTGATCGAAAAGTCGAACAGTTTCTATTAAAATCAAGTCTCTTGAGAATGTCAACAATTTTGGCCCTCGTATGATATTAATGCAGTTTTTAATCAAAAAGTTGTCAACATTGGGTATGCAGAAAAAATATCTTCTTAAGCCTAATATTCGGCAGACCTGAAATGAAAATATAAAAGCTCCGATTGTCAACACTTTCAAGATGTCAAATTAATTTATGCTTTCAAAATATTTTCTAGTAACAACACAGTACAAGTATGTATAACAAATTAATAAAAATTGCTAATTTTTAGAAACACCATAAATTTCAAATTTATGCATCCCCTGATAATTAATTTCTATACTTTCACTTTGTCGTCTAAATTTTTAGCGGAAGATACTTTTAGGAATCAATACTACAACTTAATAGTATCGGTGCCATTGTATTCCACAACACTTTTAATAAGCATTAACTAATTTCTCTCATATTTCGACGCTTGGCGCTGCCTTCTGATGCCTGTCAATGCATAAAAGGGGCCAAATGAAGCAATAGTTTTGCGAAACTAAATAATAAAAAATCTCACAAAAAAAAACTACATTAAGGTGAACAGAAATGCATTTAAATCACTTAGCTGTCTGCAGCGAAAAAAAGTAACGCGACCATCAGGCAGACAAGAATCGCCAAAGTGTGCGAGCAGTTACGAAATCGAGTAACATGAGCTGCGCATGCGTAACAATGTAAAGCAAAAACAAAAACATCGAACTGAACAAATAAAAGCAACTATGTAAGGGCTTTCGTGCGGCAGGATGTGGCCATTGCGGACCCACTCCGCTTGGCTGCGCACCAAAGCGCATGCGTAACAATTGCTGGCCAAGCATTCGGTTATGGAGTTTCTTTACCGTCAGCTTTGCTGCCTTTTTTATACGCGCTCTTATTGTAAACAAAAGGCAGGTTTCAATTTCAAGTGAACATACAAACACACACACATACTAAAGGGGTCACATGCGCTGGCGAGCTGAAATGCGTGCACTATGTGTTGCGTTGGGCACTCGTGTGGGCTTTGTCGATTCGGCAGCCTCTGTCTATTGTGCAGCCGCCTGTCTTGTTCGCTGTCCGCTCGTTTTGTTGCCCGCTTGACTGAGCATCGTTTCGTTTTCCTTCGCTGTTTACTCAGCACACACACGCAAACACCGACACTTTTGCGGTTTCAATTTGCAAGCGATACCCGTTGCGGCCCAACGACCCTGCGCGGCTGCGCAGTTCTCACCCAACTCATGTGTACATTGACTTTTGTTACCTTTAAGTTTCTACGCCCCGCGCTGTGCGACGTCCTAGGCAGTGGCATGTTGCATGGCGGTTGCTGCTTCACCGAAGGCTAATCAATCATTATTTTGCTTTGTTCTGGTTTTTGTCTTTGCACTCAAATTGTTGCGATTTGTTTCATGGACATTTTTTTGATACCCATAAATGTTACTGTTTTGTGTTGCTGTTCTTCGCATATACTCTACTTTGGAAAACTTGGTCTGGTGTTGCGCTTTTTGCGGCTTTCAACACCTCACTTCTCATCTTCATTCGGCTAATTTAGCAAACGTGCTTGCCATTCAGCGGGTTCGTCATTCACTTGAAATCGTCTGTTCGTTCATTGATTGCACGATTGGTTGTTCCTTGTGTTCGCTTGATTTTTTTCTCTATATGGTTGCTTTTATTGTTGTTGTTTTATGTTGTGTTGAGTAATTTAAATTGACAATGCGTCGCGTGAAATTACTTTTGACAAATAAGTGCGATTTTTGAAATTCATGAGATTGAGTTGAGATGCTGTTCCCTCTTTTCTTGTGATATCACTTAACATTTGTTTAAAATTTATGTTATGAAAAAAGAGCTCCAGAAAAATTTCATTTATCGCAAGATCAGAAGAACAGAGCTGACAAATTAATATGTCAAGTTGTCATCGGAACAAATTATGTTCTTGAAGAAATCAAGACTACACACAGATACTCTAAAGAAACCAGTAAGAAAACATTGTTTATGAAGAAGCATTCAACATTCTCAATGTTGACAGGGCCAACCAATACCTTTCAGTCATTTTAAGAAAAGTAACTAAAATTTTTATTAGCTCCAGCGAAAGTAAACTCAAGGTTATAGTCAACGAAAATGCTTTCAACAAGCTCATACAACAATGACTTTATGGGCACAGTTAAAGAACTTTCGTGACAAAATGTTATATCTAAAATGTGGACATTAACTGGTTATTCATAATATATCCCAACTTATTTTTTATTTATTTTGGTCTAACATTATCTTAAAGTTTTAAGGGGTTATTCTAGTGCAGAATTTAAGGTAATTTTTGAAGTATCGTAAAATACAGGCAATTTATATTTTTAGTGTCCATTTTTATATTAGTTGTTTATAAACATTACAGGAACACAGAAAAAATAAATAAAAATTTAAAAAGGTTACAAAATTTAAATAATTAGCAGCAGATAAAAACGGGGGTCTCAAAAATTGACACGTGATCACAAGCATGATTTCAACCTTTTAAACCCTCCTACCAATCTAAAACCAAAAGCGAAAAACAATTATTTATTTAGAATATTGTCGTAATGGCTGGAATTACGTAAGAGTTTAGAAAACATTTGTTTACGGAATGGCGACTGCTAAAAAAAAACAATCTTTGTACCCCTTTTTTTGACGGTTTCTAATTTCTTAAAAATAATAAGACTTGGGGATAGGGCTAGTTCCAGACATAGACATAGAACAAATATACTTGTATATATAAGGCCTTTAAGGGAAAATTCTTTCGAAATGAATTAGAAAATGTCGTTACCATCAATAGCGAACGATATAACATGATGTTGACCGACTTTCTCTTCCTGATAATTGATGAAATCAACGCGGATGATCTCTATTTCCAACAAAACCGATGCGCCCCTCATGTTTCACGTCTAAACATATATACATTGCGTGCAAAGTTTGGCAACTCGTTAATTCGCAAATGGCCCAGTCGAATAGCCACCAAGATCATTTAATGCGATTTGATGTCTCTAGATTATTTTCTCCGAGGGTATGTTAAATCAAAGATTTACGCAAATCAACCAGCAACGTTGCAGGAGCTCGAAAGCAACATTCAGCGCATTATAGCCGAATTTACAGCCGAAATGCTACATTGGGTCACCGACAATTGATGTACGCGGGTGAAGTATGAACGGAGACGTTGTGACCATTTGGCCGACATTGTGTTCAAATCATAAATGGCATAAAATTATTTTTATGACAAAAAAAGGAACCCATTTTGACTCAATTTAAGTATTTTATTTCCTTTTGACATCACGTCGCTTTTGCTGGTAGACCCTGTACATATTTTTGTTTCACAGATTAACTATGAATTTCGATTGATGTCGGGCGCATCAAATTAAAATCTAATGTGATTTCCAAATAAAAATTTATGAAATCGAACTACTGATTTTTTTATCAATTGCGTTTGTCCTGCCTACTTCTGAGAATATCTTTAATATCTAATTAAATTCAGTAAGCCTGTTACTCAGTAGTTCGACTGTAAAAGTTTAAATTTTCAATTCCCTTTTTATTTTTTAAATTTGTGTTGGTGTTTGTTGTAAAATTTATTACAGTCATCGCTAATTCTAAGAAAAAATTCTTAAGCATTAAAACTTACTCATCACACTCCTCTCCTTTCAGATGCGCGCCCAAATTCATATCACGCTCACAGGTGGCGCTCTTCTGCAACGGCGCTGGACGTGGTGGCGATGCAACAGCAGCATCGCCCTCCGTAAACGTGAAGCTAATATCAGTCGGCACATCCTTGAACGGTTTCATGCTGCGCGGCAAACTGCGATTGCGCATATTTAAATTTAAAAACTGTAAATCGCTCTCATTTAGTTGCAGTTCAGAAGAGCCACCATCGACAAGACTACCACTTACTAAACCACTCAAAGCCTCGTAATTACTCTGCTTCTTCTTTTTAGGTGGCAAAGCGGGTTTTGGCTCCGCATCTGGCTCATGCGTCATAGAGCCGTATTGCACAGGTGTCGAAGGGGCTGTAGACAGATGTTGGCTGAAAGCTAAATGCGCGCCGTTATGCGCATCCAGCGTGAACTGCTCTTGTTCCAGATATGTATTATAATATTGGGAAATATGTTCGGTGGTGTTGGGCGCATATTGCTTGCCGCGCACCAAATCACCCAAATGATCTGCATCAATGCCGAAAAGGAATGGGTCATCCAACACAGTGACTTTGGCATTACCTTTGGTAGCCTCGCTTTTTGGGTCGGCCGAATTGAGCGCCGCTTTATGCCGCGCCTTCGCCGACTTCTCACCACCCTTGCCGACGTGTACACGCAGCGAGCGTAGCAACTTTTTACCGCGACTTGTTGTGCTGAACAACGAATTCGTAGCCGGCGACTCGACTGCAGTGACATTCGTGTTCTGATATTTAGAGGGAAAGAGTGGCACTGGTGGCGCTTGCTCGTCACCTTCTTTGGCCTTCTGCTTCTTTTTCTTTTTCGCTGTCAGTTTGTTCAACTCCTGATTATGGGTTTTATCAATATCGGTGCTGTTGATCTCATCTGCCAATGTTGTAGCTGTAATTGATGTTACTGTTGTTGTTATTGTTTCGTTAGCATCTGCGTCGTCTAATTGCGTTTCGATAAAATCGCCTGCCACCGTATCATAGTCAGCGGTCTGCATGCTGCCGCTACAGCCACTGTCCTTGCCACTGTGCGTCTCATTTTCGTTGTCATTATCGATGTCGTTGTCGTTGCTGTTGTCTGGTGGAAAGCCGGTGGCTAGCGTGCCGCCAGTGGAGAGCGCCAGTCGTTGCGCTGCCGCTTTGCTGTATACTTGACGATAGTACTTCTGCTGGTCGCCATATAAGAAGCAGACGCGCCACCATTGTTTGCACGCCAGCAAATTGGCGGTGCGCGGTACCAACGGCACCGGTTCAATTGATGATGACATGTTCTCCATGTTGCTGGTGCCTGCGCTATTAGGGCTTTCAGGGTGTGTGTGTGTGTAGGTACTTGTAAAAGTTGTTATTGCTGATTTTTATTGCTGTTGTTGCTTGTTGCTATAGTAATTTGGTTGTGTTGCAAGTATATCAGCAATTACTGTTGCAGTTTTTGCTTATGTTTCGTGACTTTTTGTGTGCTTCTGTCTTTGTTATAGTTGTTGTTTTCTTTAAAGCCTCATTTTTATTTTTTTATTTTTATTTTCTTTTTATTTTGTTGCAAGTAAAATTATGAAACTCTTCTCTTTTTGTGTTTGTTTGTGTTTTTACTTTGTACTTTTTTACATCGCCGTTGTTGTTGTTCCTGATTTGCTTGCCTTGTTTTTGGTATAATTATTTCGTTATATTTATGCGCCTTTGTTCTTCTGCTCCTGTTTATTGACACTGTTGGTCCATTCATTGATTTTTTTGAACCCTTTTCGGCATGTTGCACCTAAATAAATTATGTTTAAGTTAAAATTTATGTGTGAAATTTTCTGTTGACCGAGATTTGTTGTCACATTTTCGTTTTTGCTGTTAGCAAAACGTTTGCTTCACTTGTTGTTGCGCTTTCATTTTAATAAAGTTGTTTTTGTGTATCAAATTTGTTTTGTGCCAAGTTTTACTCGGTGCATGTTTAAAAAATTGCTAATGAGATTTAGAGTATAACTCTTATAAATAAAAAGCAAGCTTTTTGCTTTAATTTGAGAAACTCTCTTTGAGGAAATTTTAAAATACTTATTCAGATAGCAGAGTTGCCAAAAATTTATTAAAATTAAAATGTAAAAGGAAAATTCCTAAACAGCTTTCGTCACAAGCTAGATCATTGCATCCGAAACCTTCGCCTGGCTTCTCTACTGACACACCTGTGAGAGATTTGTGGGCGGGACGGATTCATTAAGAAGAGGTGCAGTGCGCTTTTTCATGGCATGGATCGTAGTTAGGAGCCGAAACTTCCCATCAACTATAGTTTCAGGCTACCAGAACACTGCAGCGTCATTCTGTCAACTGCGAGATTCTTCCGAGCCAGATTGAACCATAAGATGTTCTCTGAACTACTTGCTCTAAGCGATGTCAATCTCGCCGCAATTGTAGGTGTTCTAAATGGACACGCTCCAACAGGTTCCTCGATCTATGAGCATTTGGTGATCTATTTTTGTTAGGCGTTTATGGGCAACACAGAGAACCAATGTCTGTTCAAGTAAGATCCAATCGATTAGGATCAATCCTACGACCTAACCTATTCTAATTCTGATTTTGGGATTAAAAATTAAATTTTCAATGTTTGATTCCAATTTCGGATTTTTTGTAATTTTTTTAATTAAAAAAATCGTTTTGAAATATTTTGTATGGGCCTTCCACAGCTTCTAAAATATATTTATTTTTAATCAATAATATTTTTTTTCTCGCATAGCCTATATGATAGATTCGCATATTCGTATGAAATAATTTTTTACATACTTACTATAAGTAGAGATAAGCTGGATTTTCGGTACTTACATAAGTATAACATATATTCGTCTTAGGAGCAATATATATATATATATTCTTGTATGTATGGCAAAATTTAAGGAGCAAACATTTAAATTCGATGTGTTATAAGCCCTTCCAGAGCAGAGTGTGAAAATGATGACATAATAACTCGAGTAGGAGTGCTAACAGGTCTAATTGACAGATATACCAGCAGACTGGGAATACCATGCAACGATTATTGTAGAAGCTGTCAATAGGTAGAATAAGAAGAGACTATAGAACATCTTCTATGTGAATACAAGGCTTTGTATAGGAAAATAATCGCAACTATGGACAGTGAGTATGATACCTCGGAGGTTGCACAAATAACTTTTCGTATTGATGAAGTTCATTAGGAGCACAGCGTGATTCAGAGAGGGCATAATAGAGTGAGAGGATTTTGGTCTCGGCAGTTTCACAACGGGCCTCTTTAAGGGATAGGAGCGTCGTAAGACATCCGACTTATCTACCTTGGTAAACTATTTTTGATATAAAAGTTTTGATTATTTTTTACCTTGGAGTTTTTAAAAACAACAAAAAAAAAAAAGAAAAGTGCTCAAAGGCTGAATCAACTAAATTTTTAAAATAGTTTGAGACCAACCTAGTTACATAAAAGTCTTATCATACCTTTAAGCCCAGCTTTGCATGAACTTATTTACTTATATTTCTCCAGCCAATATAGGAAGACTTATTTTTTCCAAATAACGGTTAATAAGTTCTAGAGCTTACTGTAAAGTTTTTAACACTATTATTTACTCAGCTGCAAAACAAATGAACCAAGTAGAATAACGAGTGCCTGACTCAATATACATACCTATATATGTACATATATATGTAGGAAACAAGATATATCTTAGCAAAAATGTATGTAGAACGAAAACAAAATTAGCTTTTCACATATAACAAATCATATATGCATGCTCACAGTGGCAACACCACTCAATAGCGTGTATTTTGTTGCTAAACTAAATCTACAAGCCGGTGCTTCCGTATTTACAATGTTGCAACTGCACACTGCCTGGCTGTGGCAAGCATTTACTCAGCACGTCAGTCAAACAGTCAGGCCATCAGTCAGTCAGCGTGGCAGACAGTTAGTGACTGGTGACTGCCGACTGCCTATGTTTCATTATTATTAGGTTGCCCTCTTTTGCTTGGCATAAATTGCAGCTGTGGCACAAACCAGCGCACTTGCAACAATTTGCCACACAACGCTTGCTAATCTCATGCGCTTCACTATTTACAGTTCTTGCTATTTTTATTTTCAATTTTCGCAATCTACTCTATTTGTCTTCACTTTTCGACACTCAGCTTACTTTTTAGATGCGTCACGCAGTGCTGCGAATGTGTAGCCTGCGCAGGCGCAACTTGATACACGCAAAAACAGCTATGGCTGTACACTTGCGCGTAGTAACAACAATAACGTTCTGAGTAAGTGCAATTACCGATAGCACGTTCTTTTATCATTATTTTATTTTCTTTTATTATTAGCAACTGCGACTTGCCACTTCGCTCATTACAATGCAATTGAAAGGCCTTCGTAGCAATGGCGAGTGAATGTGCCTGCCATCAGGTGTGTGGTGCAGCCATAGGCAATCGACCGGTGGCCAACCACTATCCCCTATCAATTGATCGCACAATGATGTGCCATCAAAGGCCGCATAGTTGCTTGCCGCTCGTTGCTTGCCGTCAGCCATTGCGTGGCAACATCAAACATTGTTTTTTCACGTTGTCCGTGCATTGTCGGTTATCGCATATTGAGTTTTTGTTTTGATTGTGTATATAAAAGTTAGTTCTATGGAAAATTGTGTAAGAAAACCCAAGTCAAAATCTGAAAGGCCATACGCAGTTTTTACCTCGCCATTTGGCCGAGTGTGTGCCTAACATTGGCCATCAATTAAAATTTATAGACTATTAGCTATTTTAGCTATTAACAGCACATTTGCGGTTAGCTGGCTATTAAAATCGTTATTCGTTATTTGCTTTAATCTGGAAATATGACTCCGGATGAGAGCTCATTGAAAAGCAAAATATTCAATACTAAAATGATAAGTGCAACCGAGTGGATTCTGAATGGCATCGATGAAATTCTTAGGTATTGATTATAATAGTAGAAATACCATTTTGGATATTACTTTAAGATTTTAAATTATTAGCAGTGAAATTGCGTACTTAAATTCGTTGCGTGAATAACCTTTATTTTGCTTCAAAATTCTTTCCTATAACCACTGATTTTGATGGTCTCATTCGACTCAATTCGAGTTCCACGGAGTAGTTATTTGAGTTTCAGGAACTGAAACGCTTCACAGGAACTCAAAATTATCAAATAGGGTGCTGACTGCAGACGGGGTGTTGACTTTACGTTATTTTTGCAAAAGAGTTAGCATATTTGTGGAGAACAGTGAATAGAAATGCTGAGATCGTTTACTATCACCATCATGAAAGAAAATAGCCTCTATTAGAAACACAGTATTTTAAGATAAAAGTCGCGACGAAGATAGAGGTATGGAGTGAAAGTCAAACACCAGGATATGTCGAATCATGAAATGGATGTTCCATTGTCCGACATAACAATAACCTGCCTGAAGAAAAAAATACGATGGAATCGCTGGATTGCCGACCGAGAGCTATTCAAATACGGCAGCGAAGAACTGATAAGTTGCATGCATCAGTTTCGTTGCGGGATATGGTCGGACGTAAGCATGGTCAACGATTAGAACCTAAGTGTGCTCTGCCCAATTCACAAAAAGAGGGACCCTATAATCTGCACCAATTACCGTAAAATAAGCTTTTTTAATATCGCGTATAGTGTGTTAAGGACCAAAGTCCGCTGTCAACAAATTGATTGGACCTTATCAGTGTGGCTCTTCAGGCCATTGAACAAGATTAGTGGATTCTTGCCATTGGCCTAACTTGTACCAGCAGCAATCGTATAATTTTCGCAATCAAATACTCATATATAAAATTAGCAGTGGAAATTTAAAGGACCTTCTTTTCCCGAGATAGATAGCTAAACTTACAAACACTTGTCGATCAATTATGTTAAGCGTATATCAAAGACATGGGTGAAAAAAGAAAATCGAAAATGTGTGCAACAAATGTTCAAAAAAATATTATTTTATTTGAACTCATTTTCTAAGTTTGGCAAATATGCTCACTTTCGAAATTTGAAGTCCAATGTTATCCAAGAGCAATCAAAGCATATATTTTTTTGTAACTAAGACCCACCGATTTATAGTTGCACAATAATGGCATCAAGTCGGTTCTACATTAATTGCACTAGTGCAGAGTTTTGAGTTAACTTTATGCATAAGTAATAGTAGTTTTTGAAGTTTTTAACAGTAGTAGTTGTCTTCGATTCGCCAGAGAGTTAGCGAGTTGAATTTGATACAAAACAATTTCAATGCCATCAAATTTTGTTTTATAGTGCAAGGTTGACCGTAAATGCTGCCAAATTGATTAAACAACTGCTTTAAATTGTTTGATTCGCTATTCTTTAATGCTTGCTGTGTCCTTTATTAAAATAAGATTAGTTTGAAGCTTCAGGTATATTTCGGTAGAGACATACTTTTATACTCTGGACATGATATGATTAAGTTTGACAAGAAGTTTGTAATACCCAGATGGAAATGTCGAAGACCCTATAAAATATACATATTAATGATCAGAAGACGAGTTCAGTCGATATAGCCATGCCCGTCTGTCTGTTCGTCTGTCAGTTTCTCAGTTTTTGAGTTATCGATCGCAAGAATCTGACGGAATCGCTGATATCAGACCACTATAGCATATTTCTAGCTGCCAAATAAGCTGAACGATCCCAATTAAGTCGGTATGGAAAACTTTTTTATTTAAAAAGATATCTCCACGAAATTTGGCATATACCATTGCTGCAAGCAATTGTGCACTCTCCAAAGAAAATGTCCAGATCAGATCCTTATAACGTAT